CCCTTGATAAACGACCAATCACAGTCACTTTACGCACTTGTGTAAAGTCGGGCACCACTCGGGAGAATTTGGAAATGGAACGGCTGACACAGCCGCTTCCCTACGACTTTAATTAAGTGTTTTTCAAGTGTTTTTGGCATTGAATTACTTGAGAATTCATATTGCATAACTATGGCCTTCATTTCTTACCTTTTGTAGAAGTCAAATACAAGTGGATGAATTTATTCTCAAGGAGAATAAACACTCAAATTTGTAGGAGTAAAAACACCTTTTGCAATTAATGCAGAAATAATGTGAGAAAGGAAGCTGAATTACATTTGCTTACAAAGAAGTTGCACCATTTATTTAAATAATAATGATAATATTATTGATGATAATACATTTTGCCCGTGATAAAAAAAGTGAAATTAATAATTGTGTTAATGTTTATCTAAATATACCCAGGCACTTTAATTAAGGTCAAATTAGACCTAAAATGTTAGCTGTAATATGCATTGCAGCTTGATTAATTTTTATCAGGAAAGTAGAACAATCATTTGATTAATGGACTTGTCAAAACATGATCGTTTATTAGCCCATTATTAAAATAAAGGTTAGTTGCAGTGCTGTCGGATGCCCTTGACAGCTGCTGATTTAAAAGTTTCAGCGTCATTGTTCATGGAGACCAGTACTTACATGTAGCCTCGAAATCTGTTCAGGTCATTGTTGGGCTTTTCACATTCAATTATGCTGCTGTACTTTAATGGGTCGAAGTCACAGTCCTGTAGAGAAAGAAAAGGCATCCCATAAGTCAGCATATGTAGCCCAGGTGTGATGCTTGGCCTATTCAGACATCCATTCACACATGACCTAAGGTAGCGATAAACTGAAGGTCATTTCTCTATAAGCGGGCGGTAAGCTCATCTGAGGCAACACACTGCTGCCTTGTGGGACTTTATGGGTATAAAAAACCATCAAAAATATATTAGTGTACTTCATCCTTGGTATACAATATTAGATGTCTAAAGGTGCTGCATTTATTACTTCAAACAATTTTGTGCAAGCATGGGAATATCCATCCAGGGGTTAATCTCTGTGTTTCAGAGATGAGCCCGTTTTGGTGCTGGATCTCTGCATTAGAAGTAGAACTAAAGATATTATGAAAATGCTGCCTGGAGGTCGTAAAGAGTCTCGTTATGAACAGAAAAACATGTGTTGTGCCAGGACAAGCTGAAAGGTCACTCCGACAGAAACAACCCATTACTATAAAAGCATTATTTAAGACTTGTCCTCTATATGTGTTTTATTGTGGTGCACCGCCACAGCAAAATAAAAGCTGGCATACCTTCAGAGTGAATAAAAAAAATAAATGTTAAAAGTAGGGATGTTCTGAACCGATATCAGTCCGATAACAACCAAAAATCTATCGATCTGCATGTAAAATCTCTGATATTAGCATGCCGACTGGAAGACTCTGCTTCTGTATATGTAACCCAATGGCTACTAATAAATGCTTAATTTGTACTCCAACCTATTTTTTGTCCATTAATCTATGAGTAATTTCGAATGATCAAACCTTTTTTTTAATATTTTAATCTACAAAAAAAAAAAAGAAAAAAAGAAGGATACAATTATAATGTAAAAATAGTCTGTAATCAAGACTGTTTTCTTTAAAACTAATCTAGTAAAATAATTACCTGACCACTACACAACATGAATCACTTATTCACCTTTTAGTTAGGGGTGGACAATATATCAAATATACTCGATGCATCTTGAGTTTTCCCCATGCAGAATAGTTAAAATTACTATCGCAACCATCAAGTATAAATTCTCATGGCGACATTAAGCCGTTTGCATCTATTTTACTGAGATATTGAGGCTTTTTCATGGTAACTTTTGTTA